ACACAGTCCACCTGATGGTAAGTGGATGCTGTGGCCCATAGACATCCACATTTACCCTCAATTAAGAATAAAAATCCAAATACTTATATGACTCTTATGTAAATGAAAAGTTACAAAATATTATAAATCCATCTCATTTCAATTGAAGTTGGTCTGAGTATACCGCAGCGAGTTTATCGAAGTAAAATGAAAAGCCTTAGCTGAATATTGATTGAAACTACAGTTTGTTTTATCTATAAGTAATACTAGTCACTCTCTACTTTAATGAACCGCATTTAAAGTTATTGCTAGGCAATTTAAATTTAATTATACGTTGTGGATTACAGTCAGGATGAATTTTTAAAAGTTGTGAAAATATTTAAGGATGAGAATTTCGTCGCCATCCGTTTTTAAACTTTAGATAAAAAAAGAAGTTCCTGCATAACTTTAATTCTTTTTGCAACTTGACCTATACTCTTCACTATCGGATATTATGTAGGGTGTAGGCTATATACGGCACATAGAATACACATCCGTGCTTTTTTTTATAGCATTGGCTGACAAAGAAACACACAGTCCACCCGGTGGTAAGTGGATGCTGGGGCTCACAGACATTCACATTTCTCCTTAATTAAGAATCAAAATACAAATACGTATTCCAGTAAAAAGGGTCTCCGGTTCTCTACTCTCATCATACGAAACTCAGCAGCATTACGCTGCTGCTTTACGCTGGCATTCTGTGAGAGCGTGGTCCTGCCTCGGTCGAGCCAACTCATTCGTGCTACAATTATAAAATTTCTGCAGCGTGGCTCTACCACATAAAAAATTCTTATCCTATGGTTTCGAGTTGTGATGTCCATAATATTAGTGCTAATATTACACAACTTTTCAATACACAGCTGCCACTCCAGAAACTTTTCTCCCCATCGGTTGTCGGTTCCTTAAGCTTGGCCAGTCCATTGCCACTTTAGTGACAATACATTTAAATTCTCTTTTTTCAAAGTCGATTGCATGTGACTATGTTGTAGAGGCCACTTATCGTATTTTTCGTGTTTGTAAACCTAATAGTAGTTGGCTACTGTAAACAAATGGTCTCGATCCTCACTTAAATATTGGAAGACTGATTCAATACTTTCAGAAACCAATTATAAGTTAAAAAGTTGCGGTTTAAATAAATATTGTGACGATAAATTATAAATACGTTGACAAAGTTCGGGACTAGCTCTCAAGCGTGGTGGCTATACAAATTGCTCGAAATATTTTTTTTAATAATTCCACCAAACTAGGGTCAATGAAGCATAGAAATTGTTCCGGATTAACTAGTGAGAAATATGTTTGATTATGATTTTAATTTATTCTTATATTATAATTTTAAGTTTATGTCAGCATTGAAAGCGTGTAAGTGAAAGAAGTGAAAAGAAAACTTTTTTGTTTAATTTTTATGTATTTCGTAACTTAAAGCGACAGTCAAATATAACATTACAGTTTTAAAGTTTTCACTGAAATTCTGATATTGGAACAATCTAAAATTTTGTTGCCGTACTAAGAAGTAATGACGCTACTTTTTTTAGTATGACCTTGTATGTAGACTGCAGCGGATTCGAATTGCACAAGAACCAAGTATTTATACGACTGACAAGTAATTACGGAACTTTTTGTAAAAAATAATACTGAAAGAAATCATCATATTTCATGAACAACTAGCATTTTTCATGGGTCATATATTATGAAGGTTCTTTTAAATTTTATTATTTAACTTATTAACGTAATAATCGCAAAAACTTGTATATTTTTTGTCCGCTATAGAGATGAACGCAGGAAGCCATAACGGAACATGTTTTCCGCGGCGCGAGCATTAACGCTGAAAATAGCTTGGGTTAGAGTTACATAAATGTTTACTCATTGTTAAGTAAAACCACTTCTTAAACTGTGATCTAACTATACAACAAACTCTTACAGATTGGGGCTATGATGTCCGGTCTTGAACCTTTTTGCTCAACGTATTTTACTGGCTATAAAACGTGGTAATGCAACCAGTTTAGGCCTAGGCTGAGCCTAGAACGGTTTGCGGTACACTATTTATCTAAACTTTGTTGTTTTTCTATATGAATATCAGTATTTTAAAATACTTTAATTTTTTTTAATCTATAAAAGTGGATATCCTGATTTATTAAGCGTTTGCAACAAGGATTCAAAGTATTAATCGGAAATATTTTATTATGACGGTTATGAATTATGATGTAAGTATGAATCCACTTAGAAAGGATTTTGGAAAATTTAATCCCTTAGAGGGTAAAATAGAGTATAAGTTTCTACGAAGCTTTTTATTTTACTTGGTGATTGAGTCAAAACTTACTAAAAAATTGGAGGAAAAGGCGCTTTAAAAAACTAAAATAAAACAGGATGATCACAGTTGAGAACAGTAAGAAATACATAAAACATAGGATGTGTGATTGTAGATAATATTAGGGTTCCAAGTAATAATTTTTATTGGGTTTTTTAGGAAAAAATGGATCGAGCACAGCGAATACGTTAAAGCTAGGATTTCCACAAGCTTACAGCTGTACGAAGTACCTACGCTGGGAAAGATTGTTATGCGCTTTTGAAGCATCTCCCGCTTGGATATTACATCAACAAGATCTTGAGATGCGTTGCCAGTATCTTACCTAAATTAATAAAAATAGCAGTTGCAAACCTACCTGCTTAGCATAACTCATCCTCCTGGCTCGGGTACCATAAATATTTTGGATATGAGCCAAGCTATGTGGGAGGCCTATATTCATCAGAGAACTTTGGCTTTAACGTATATACTATGGTATAATTCAGAAATCTTATTTCTATTTTCTTTTAATTGAATTGCTCTGAACATTACCGCTTTACGATATAATTCAAATACCTAGACCAGTGATGGGGAATAGCCTTAAAGAAAGGTGTGAGACGTCTAGTACAGCAACCGTTCCCCTGCATAGCGTGAAGTTAAGGCAAATCCTCCCTACAAAAACAGATGCGTTTCTGTCGCAAAAAAGGTCCAGCAGTTGACTTTATAAGCTGAAAAAAAGAAGAATAAAGAAGAATTAAACAGAATAATTTATAATATATTCGTACATACCCTTTCACAAACTAAGAAGCAAATGTTACACGGTAACAGTAAACTTTATGTAATGGACTATTTCAGTTTCAAGAGCAATGTTTTATAGGAAGGATCCCCGCACCTGCACCCTATCTATTCAAATAAGGAGACAAGGGCAAGTCTAACGGATTCAGAGGATTTGAGAGGGTTAAAGGCTAAGATACTCGTAAAACATAAAACACCTTTTCATCCTTCGGGAAATCTCAAAAGAGATCATTCGTTCATTGTTGACGTAGATAATACTCGTAGCTTTAACTGTTAGATTTCTAATTGTAGTATTTTGCTGCATATACACGCACACACGTCGTAAATCAGCACTTAAAATTGCAATTAACTAAATTATCAAATAACATAAGTTATTTCTAATTAGTATTTACTTTCTGTTCAGAAAAAAATTAAGAACCAGTAGCCAGATTTTATATGATTCCAAGTTCTCATTCTCACTTTTGATCATTAAAAGAGTAAATACAAATTTATATGTGGTAGGGCCACGCTGCAGTTATACATATTAGTAGTATAGTTGTAGCACGAATGGGTCGGCTCGACCGGGGAAGGACCACGCTCTCACAGAATACCAGCGTGAAATAGTAGCTAAATGCTGCTGTATTTCGTATGGTGAGTGTAGAGAACCGGAGACCCTTTTACTGGAAACGAGGCATTCCATCTTAGTCCTCACGGATGACAACGCATCTGCATTTTGATTTGTAATTGAGGATAGATGTAGATGTCTATGGGCCGTAGCAACCACTTACCATCAGGTGGACTCTGTGCTCGTTTGTCACCCTATCCTATAAAAAAACAACTATATATTTTATTTTTAACACTATAATAAAGTGCTTCAGATTGATTTTTAGTAACAGCGGCCATTCTCAATGGAGAATAGCCATCTGCTCAGGACAGTATTATATTACCCAAGTGTATGCGCAAGCACAGGTCTACCCTACTCCCTCACTCTTATAGTCCGATGGAACGGTAATCCGAGACGACGGGAGAGAGATCAGGCGCAGGACCAACAGTTATACATGCTTCCGGAGGCATGGTGGTGAAACCCCGCCAATTTTGATAAGTTCGAAATCAATATTCCGGGCTACTACTGAGAATTTTGTGACAGAAAAACCCATTAAATGGTTCTTGGCCCGACTCGGGTTTCGAACTAGATCAGCAACTGCGTTTACGACCATAAGACTAAGAAGACAGTCAAAAGTGTTAAAAGTATAATAATTTTAAAGGTATCCTGCTCTGAGTAAATAAATAAATGGTCACTGAGTAACAAATAACCTATAACGAACTTTTACTTATCAGTTTGTATTATAAACATACTTAGTACCTATATTTACATTTTTATTACTTGCTACTTCGGTTATCAATATTTTTAATACACTGTTACGTTTATGCGACGACAGCGGTCGTGTTAAAGATTTACACGGGTGCTCTCTACGACGCGCTGCGGACGACAGGACGACTGCCGTGGCGGGACTGTTTGTGATTTAGTGATTTGTGTTTGGTTTGGTCGGCCCGCGCGCTGTAAAAAAATGAAATGAAATAATTATTTATATTAGAGATGGGCCGACTATGGTATTTGCCGACTAGCCGACTAATCGGTTTTCAAATCGCCGATCAGTCGGCCGACTAGTCGGCGATGCCGAACATTTTAATACTAGCCTTTCGGAGGTATTCGGGCTATGTCGTCACCCGTCAACCCGTCATCACTCGGCACCCTTAAGCATGCATAAGAGCCATCGTGCGGCCACCGAGCAGGTTGTGATTTGTAGTGTAATGTAAGCTTTGAGCTTTGACGTGTTTTGTTTTCTTTTTAATCGTTTTGTGTACATTCGCTCTGCTGGTGTCGCCTAGTTAAAATAAATAAAAGAAATGTGTGTGGGGTCTTAAAATGTCGAAAAAGAAATCGCGAGTGTGGACATTCTTCGATGATGTTGAAGGAGAACCGACAAAAGTGAAATGTAACCAGTGCCAGGGAATAATTTCACGCGGTGGTCAAGGTAGAAAAGCGAATACTACAAGTATGACTAATCACATAAAATATAAGCACAACGAGTTGATGCCTCAATTGGCAGGTTCTATTAAAAGTAGTTCGAATGAAGTCCATTTGTCTTCACGTTTTCAATCGCAACCTGAGCTCTTTTCACCGACGCCAGTTCCGTCAACTTCAGCGAGAGGCGAAGTTTACATACAACAAACAACTATTCAAGATAGTGTAATGGTCCAGTGGTCGCTTCAGGGCTCCCGATCAAGAGAAATAAGTGTTGCTATAGGAGAGATGATTGCCTTGGATAACCAACCTATATCAATTGTGGAAAACAGTGGTTTTATCAGTCTAATGAAGAAGCTTAAACCAAAATATGTACTGCCTAGTAGAAAGTATTTGTCAGAAAATATTATTCCCAACATTTATGAAAAAACTAAAACTGAAATACGATACGGAGTGCTCAGCACTACCGCGCTATCCGTAACTACAGATTTGTGGACACAAATACAAACAATAAGGAAAGTTTTTTAAGCTTTACAGCACACTGGTTGGATAACGATATGAAATTTCGTCACGCAGTACTCCGGATGAAACATTTTCCTATGTCTCACGATGCACATAATATAAAAGTGTGTCTCGAAGAAATTCCTGCCTCATGGAATATAAGTGCAGCCAAAATACACACTGTTGTGCGAGATAATGGGAGGAACATTACGAAGGCTATCGATGAATCGATTTTCAAAGCAGTTCCATGTTTTATTCATACTATGCAATTTGCAATCCACGACTCGCTTAAAATTGACTATATAGCACAAATTCTTCAAAAATCGAGGCGTATCGTTACGCATTTCAATCACTCAGCACCAGCTCAACAAAAACTAAGTGCTATTCAAAAAGAGCTTAATTTACCTTTACATCTTCTTGTTCAAGATGTTTCCACAAGGCGGAATTCTTCTTATTACATGATGTTTCGTCTGTTAGAGCAAAAACGATCCGTTTCTTTGTATGTGACAGAAAATACAGTTAATTTTGAGAATTTATCGACCGAGGAGTGGAAGTTACTCGAAAAATGCATTACGCTACTAAAACCGTTTGAAGAGGTGACGAAAATAATTAGTTCAAGTTGCTCCTCGATATCTGAAGTTATTCCTCACCTAAAAATACTGGAAAAATATCTGGAAAACTATACAGACGAAGACGGAAATGAGCAATTAATGGAAATGAAAACTGCATTGCAAAAGGGCTTGAAAACTAGATTCAGAAATTTGGAACAGAATAAATTGTTTTCACTTGTAACTTTGCTCGATCCAAGGTACAAACTACAGTTTTTTGATAATGAAAATATAGTATCAGCAAGATCACAGTTTTTGCTGGAAGCCTTAAAGAATGGTATGAGTGATGATGATGACAGCGACCTAAATAACGACTCATCGTTACTCAACGTGGTCTCAACCAATATCCAAAATTCTAACTCCGAAATGACAGCTCATCGCAACTTTTGGGGAGTTTACCAAGAAATGGTTACGCGAAAAGTGCACAATATTGACGACCAAACATCTAGTTCAGCTCACGAACTTCATTCTTACTGCACATTGCCAGTTTTACAGCGAACTGAAGATCCATTTAAGTGGTGGCATGAGAACAGTTCTAGATATCCTGAAATGGCTCGTATAGCTAAAGTATATCTGTGTTGTCCCGCCAGCACAGTTTATAGCGAGCGTCTCTTTTCGGAAGCTGGCAATGTATACGGGACAAAAAGGAACCGCTTACTTCCAGATCAAGTCGAAACATTGACATTTTTGCATCATAACTTGCCACTAATTAAAAACAAACATATTTAAGTAGTTTTTAAACATTCATTAGCACTAAACCATTTTGTCATAATGCCAATTTATTATAATAGGTATTGTATGATATAATGATTCCGTCACAATATTTTTTATATTTTATTATTCTTGAATAAAGACTAACTAAATTTAAAGTAATACTATGGCTCTATGATACCTTGAAAATGTAATTAAGGTACCTATATTATTTTGTTTTATTTGTTACGTATGTGTCATTGATTGAAGATATTTAATTACTGACTGATTCTTAAATTCCTTATAATATGGTAACAGATTAATAATTAATATAATAAAGTGCAGCTAGGTAATTATCATAAAAACTGCTATCACAGCAGATTCATGAAAAAGTAAAATAAAAAACAATTATTAGGTATAAATGTTGGTTTAATTTTTTTGCTAACCACCGATTATAATCGGCATATTTTGCCGATTAGTCGCCGATTAGTCACCGACTGTAAATGATGCCGACTAGTCGGTTAACCCGACTAGTCGGCGACTAGTCGGCCCATCTCTAATTTATATTATATAAAAATAAAATAAATAATAATTTAATGTCTTTTTAAAATGACATATATCATTTTATTGAAAAATAAACCCATAATTCACTTACGTATTTACTGATGAACAAATAACCTGAATTTAATTGAAATTGATTTCATTACATTCGAATGAAACTGCTTTTTCACTTAGTGGACGTACCTAAAATTGTAGATTTTAGGAAACTTTTTGATCATTTTCTATCGAGCCAAAATATTTTACTAAGAAAAATCTTTAACTTTCATAATGAGTTTAAAAAAATGTGAATTCATAGTTTGTAATGACAATGTGCTAGGTGCGCAGAAAATCAATTTTTTTGGCGCCCACTTCACCTTAAATACGTTTCAATACTCTTTTATGACTAACTTTGGACCACAACTGCGAACTGAGATTAATGTAATTATATTTTATAATAATGATGTATGAACGAAAGAAATAAAAATTAAAACGCACTCGAACATACATACACAATATACACGATTTACCATAAAAACATTAAATTTTATATTGATAATCTACGATAATTGTAGCTGTTCGTTTAACAATATTGCTTTGTATGTATTAAAAACGAAAACAATACACTGATTACTGAGTGACTGATAGGTTTCAGAGGCAGTGGAAGGTTATTCCAATACTTGGTTGCGGCATATCAAAAGCTCCCTCGGAATGCAACAGATGATACCTTAGGTGTGAGCAACCTGTACGCAAAGGTCTTATCGAAATTGTAGTATTATCTCGTGCCCATAGTAACTTATTATAAAGATAGGAGAGTGTTCTAGTTTCAATATTGTCAAACAATAAAATGGCGAAATGTAGAAATGGTTTGGCAATATTTAATAATAAATACCGAATTTTAGTCACGGCCGGTCTCAACGGAGACTAGCCATCAGCGACTGCCAACTAGAAAAGATTTAATTGCAAGAGTGTGTGCATAAGTACAGGTGCACTCTCTATTCCCTCACTCTCATAGTCCAACGAGATAGTTAACCTACATGACCGGAGAGATATCAGACGCAGGACCAACGGCTTGTCATGCTTTAAGAGTCACGGGTGTGAAACATCGCTAAATTTCTGATTTTTTTATTTTTTTATTTATTTTTTATTTATTTATTTATTGATCTCTTCACAAAATAAATTTATGATTCCCGCTAAATTTCTAATTCCCGGTTGCTTCCAAGAATTTCCCACTTAAAAACCCAATAGCTGATTTTGACCCGGCTTGAGATTCGAACCCGGGACCTCGTGATCAGCAAACGTCTTTACGACCACTTGACAGGTAGATAGGTTGATGATTTCAGTACCAGATGCTACTTCTCTCATATTTTATTTCCCACTAAAATAATACCACCATGCATATCGTGAAATCCTTAGTATCATAAAACAGAAGATATAGTTAATGCCATTATTATAAACGATAAAAGCCGTAAAATAATGGCAAAAGATATTTGTATCAGTTTTCCAGTCACGATTATTTCATATTAGTTCTTAATATCTACTCATATTACGCTATTGACATGGAAGGTCAGGCTGAAATACCGTTCAACAACGCTTTTGTGAGATACTCGTTAAAATATCAAAAACAAATGATAAAAATGGGACTATTAGTCACAAATTAAGCATTTATTTTTTGAGACTTGTTATCGCCATCATTTCAAAAAAAAAAAGAAACTTAGGGCGAACTTTTTGCTTTTTAGTATACTCTCCTAGTTAATAACCCAGTAAGTGAAAAAAATATTGCGGTAGGTGCAAAAATATATAAAGGATGTACACTACAACAATCACAATACTCAACAACTTAAATATTTTACAAGAATTATAGTATAAGATTTTCAAATGTAAAGCTTACCTGAAAACGAGGTCTATTAGAAATTTTCATTGAATCATTACAGCCTATTTGTTGAAAATCGCTAGTTTATAGCGTTTGTTCTTATCATATAACGTCAAATAACTCTGCGTATAAAATTCGGCTGAACAATTTTTTTTTATAGAATAAAGGTGACGATCGAGTAGAAACAAGTCACATAGTACACATAATGGTAAGTAGATGCCGTGGTCCGAGACATCAACATTATTCCTTAATTAAGAATCAAAATGCAGTTGAGTTTTCGCGCCTAAGAACTAAGATGAAACGCTTCGGTTCCAGTAAAGAAAATCTCCGGTTCTCTATTCTCACCAAACGTAACATAGCATAATTAATCTGCTATTTTGCGCTTGTATTCTGTTAGAGCGAGGTCCTACCACGGTCGAACCGGCCTATTCGAGCAACTACCATAATATTGCTGCAGTACAGCTCTAACACATATAAATGTTTGCCTTAAAAATAATTACAATTCGATTAATATTTTTATGTAAAGCTAGTTGTCAATCTAATAAACGTCTGTAAAATGTTTAGATATTTGTATTTATTAGAGTATTTGATAGAGTCGTGATTTTATTATGTACATAAAATTAAATCCCACCCCTAGTATATAAATGCAAGACTTAAAGATACTAAAAGCTCATTCTGCATAGATCGAATCAAAAATTATTAAATTTAAACTGAAAGTAGTCGCCATTAACTATGACATTAGGACGTCGTACACCTCAGTGACCATAGGTGCTGTAAAGTACTCCAAACGTTGGGAATATAAATTAAGTTAATAGAATACATAACATCTCCAACACTTTCAAGGTTCAGTGCCGAACATGGGTATCGACATATCATGGGTTATATTTGTAGTAGTTGTCCGGCTTGGCGGACAGACTAACATAAACAGTAATTTATTGTCTAGATTTCATTAGGAAGACATTTTGACCGTTTATTATAATTTTTACCTATAACTACGACACTCACAGGATGGTATAGGTAGTGGCTCATCCTACACCATCAGCACACCGTATTGTGATGTACTTACAATAGTTATACTCAAAATTTTGAATAAAATGTACTTATAATTAAACTAAAAACGGTTAAGTACCTCCCATTTATAAATAATTTTATGAATACAAGTAATACATTACTCGTCCTAATATGGCAATATCCGCCATAAATTTACGATCGAACAGCCATTAACGCTGTAACAGCTGCGAAAGCGAAAAATAATTCCGAATGTGATAATCATACCTCAGAATAATAATATTTTCCACCGAAAGTGCGAAGCATTAGCG